ACGTCGAGTCAGACTGGCGATAGATGGGTTGGTAAGTTATTGTGGGGCCACCCCACACGGTTCTCCAATATGTTTCGTATAACGAAAGAAATATTTTTTGACCAGCTTAATGAACTCTGAAGTCTTTATGGGTTGCACGGCTCAACAAAAACAACGACAAGAGAAGTGTTGGCAATAACCCTATACATCTTATCCCAGAATGAATCCATTAGAGGAGCAATGGAGCGATTCCAACATTCATCGGAAACCATTAGCAGGTAATTCTCAATTGATTTGAATGCTCTGGTGAGTTTGACATGCAAGATAGCTAAGCCCGAGGATCCATCATTCCAATCCATTTCATCACAATTTGCAAATGACACTCGATACATGTCGGTTTTCAAGGTATACCTTTAACATAACATTCATACATGAAATTGATATACATGTCAAATGCTAAAATGTTATAACTTGAATGTCAGGACTGTATTGGAGTTGTTGATGGAATACACGTCGATGCATGCCTATCAGGTACAAAGAAGGTTGCGTACATCGAACGGTATAGCTCCCACACACAAAATGTTATGGTCATGTGTGATTTCAACATGTGTTTTACTTTTGTGATGGCTGGATGGAAAGAAAGAGCGCACGACAGTCGTGTTTTCAAGTTTGCTACGGGAAACCAAAGACATGGTTTCTCGTTCCCATGTTTTAAATTGAATATTATTATAATTTTAGTTGTAATTTTGTTATCTTTTTTTGTTTTTTAATAGGTTTGTAGATAGTCTCTCTTGAGTCAGGAGTATATCTATATTTTCTTTGAACTGTTATGTAGTGTTTTTTTTTATTCTAATATATTGAATGTGTTCTCAGTATATTGAATGTGTTCCCAGTGTTTTTTAATGGCCCAAATGCTTGTTTGTAAATGATCAGGTTCATGATATGTTTAACCTGATGATTGTTCCTTATAACTTTTAAATTAAGAGTTTATATTTGAAAATAATTTTTTGTTAAAAAGAAAAGGTAAAGCACTTATGTAAATGTAAAAGTAGATAACATATTATTTTAAACATATCATGCAAATACTTGTCATGAGGTTCAAGAGTTGTCGGCTCCAATTTAAGAAATAAAGAGCGGACATTAAATGTGAAAGAATCTTACCATATAGAATAGTCGCCCTTGCGCAATAAAGAGCATTAGCAAGTTTATCGAAACACATTAAAAATTTCAATTCATTTTGTGGTAGTCGCCTTTGAGTAAGGAATATATCTTTCTTTTATTTGAACTGTTATGTAGTATTTTTTGGATTTTAGTATATTGAATGTGTCTCCATTATACTAATCTTGCAAGCAGCTCCACTGCGCGTGGCCGAAATGATTATTTTTTCACATACAGCTGCAAATCAACTGTTCTCAAACAACATAGACCAAACAGTTCAACAGTTTATTCAGTTCAGGAGCAGAATGGTCATTTATCCACAAACAGTTGCAAATCAGTCGTTTTTCAAAAGGTGAAACCAAACAGGCAGACAACTTATCCAAATTAGCTGTTGATCAGCAGCTTATCAGGATAAGCTGCTAGATGGATAAGTTGGATAAGCTGCAACTGCCCCATACAGACCCTAAGTGAACAATGCCAAAATTAACTTTCTCAGAGATAAAAATGTATATCAATCTAAATGTGTTTAGTTCTATCATGATGCACAGGATTTTTTGCAACATTGATAGCAGCTTAGCAATCACAAAACTTTTTTATGAGATTGATTGTGGATTATCCCAACATTAAGCAAAATTTGGATCCACCTTCCTTCACAAATAAGATGATTGCTGACTCAATTGAAATACAGCCAAATTTGATCTACATTTAAGCCTGAAAAATTTTTGGATTATCATGTTAAAAAGCTTTGAAATAGGTTGATTCCATTTGAGAAGGTTTTATGGAAACGCGGATCAAAAAATGATCCAAATTGGGAAAAAATTTCATATATGCAAGAAAGATATATGCAGCTTTTCATTTGAGGTATGTTTGTTTTCATGATTATTTTCAAATTTCAAGGACAAGATTTTATCAAGAGAAATTGTAATAACTAAAATAATAATAATAAATTGAATAGCTAGTAGGGGATGCACATCAGTACGGTTTCGTCTTTAGGAGTCTTTAGGAGTCGAAGACAATTCCAACATTTCATTCAAATGGATCGAACATATAGAGCAAAGGGCGAAGAAAGGGTAGCATGTGTACCCTAGCCATCAGGGGGAGAAGAAAAAGGGAGAACCAGAAAAAAGAAGGGAGAAGCAGAAAGAAGAAGAAGCCGAAGAAGAAGAGGAAGAGAACGAAGCATGTCGTGTTGAAACCTAGCCACAGAGAAGAAGAGGAAGGAGATTGGCTCATCGTCTGTGTTGAACTTAAGCCACAAGAGGAGGAGAAGGCTCTGGCAAGAAGAGGAAGGAGGGAAGACGCGCGCGCATGTTGTGCTTGGTCGAACCGAGCTCAAAGGAACAAGAAGGGAGGGAGTTAGATCGTGCGGGAAAAAGCTCCGTAAAAAAGCTTCGGGCGTGCAAGAAGAGAAGAGAGACGGCTCGTGTGTGCGAGAGAAAGCTATCGTTGAAGCTCTAGCTTGTGGTCGAAAAGTTTTTAGGTAAATTAACACACACACACACACACATATATAAACGCGCGCGCATACACACATATACATACATACATACACACCGATATACATACATACATACATACATACATACTGATATACATACATACATACACATATACATACATACATACCGATATATAAATTCATTAAGTGTTGATATTAAGTGCACATAAAATCATTAAGTAATTGAAGAAATGGAGATTCAACTTGAGATCAATGAATGAATCACTTTGAAAGATAATGTACATGTTGATTAATGTTAAAGTTTAATTTATTTAATTTAGAATTAATATTTAATGAAATATAACAGCAATTAAGTTTGAAGATCAGTTCAGCCTATAAGATTGGAGATAGTGAGTTAAGAAGACAAGCAAAAAAGATTAAGGTAGTAATTATTTTCTTATATGTACTAAATTGATGTTTTAGTAAGTAAAACACTTGTATTATTGTTTCAGATACCTGCTTTTAGTTATATGCATTTTGTAGGTTGAACGAATCACTGAAAAGAATGAAATGATAAAAAGAAAAAATGATTGTTCAATGACTTTAAAAAGAGATAATTAAAATAAATGTAATGTAAAAGTTTAAGTCATATCGAATTACTCTCAAATAATACATGTAGGAGATGCTATGTGCCTGTGCACAAAAAAAGAAATGGAAATTATTAAAATGTATTTTAAGGTGGAAAATTTTGAGGATACCTATGGGCACAAATTTTAAGGATATCTTTGAGTATGACAGTAATCTTAATATTTTTTAAATAGTTTAAAAAGGATAAATACATTAAATTGAAACAGGAAAGATTAAATTAAAAATGAAAGCCTACAGCTTGATTTATCAATAAATTATATTTTCTTGGAACATTAATGTAAGGCATTTGCACATTAATTTAATGCATAAAAAATGTAATTGTTCACTAAGTGATGTAACTTATTCTTGAAAATTTATAATTGCTTTCACGAAAACATTAGATTGATATGAATGACAAATGAGAGATGATTTACAGGAGAAGAACAATTGTTGATAGGAAGTACATTATGTATTATGATGGTGGTTACTGGATTGATTACTTCTAAGTTTTGATATACCGTTATGTGTTGGTTTGAGGTGTTGCTTTACTGGCAAACTATGTTTTTGTTTCTAGATGATTTAATTTTATGTATGGTGCACTTTGTGGTTTTTTAGTGACTCTTTTATAAATTAGAAATTATAATAATATTTAAAAAGTAAATTAAATGTTAATTACACTCTTGATTGTATGTTCCCCAAGCCCCGGCTGGGTCGCAAGTTGTGTCTAGCAAAGTTCATATCATGCTGAAAGAATAACAAAGAAACTAATAGTCAAATCCATTTACAAAGAACCGTTCCCCTCAAAGCACCAAAATAAGGGAGTAGAAACCTGGAGAGGAAAACCGCCAGCCTCTGAATAATTTAGAAAGGGGCAAGTGAACCATCAAAGTGCTAAGTTAAGTAAAGATTTACTTTGGATCGTAATAATACACTTGAGTGATTCAATTAGATCGAGGTTTTCTTCCAAGTCATATTCATCATGAACCATGATATTCTCTTTTTTTTAATGAGGAATGGTAAGACCTTAAAGAATGTATAAAAAAGAACCCTTCTCCCTCAAAGCACCAAGAAAAGAAAAAAAGAGGGAGTAGAAACTGTGAGAGGAAGAGCACCAGCCTCTGAATAATTTAGAAAGGAGCAGTGAACGATCAAAGTATTATGTTAAGTATAGTTTTACTTTGGATTGTAATAATGCAATTGAGTTATTCAATAAGATAGAGGTTTTCCTTTGAGTCATATTCATCATGAACCATGATATTCTCACTCTTATTACTGAGGAATGGTAAGGCCTTAAAGATTGTATAAAAGCTTGTTGTTTTAAGAATGGTAGATGCCTTCCAAAGCAAGTCTTTTTCAATGCACTAGGGCAGGTGCTAGAACGGTGTCATCATCCATATAACCACCTAAGGTGACAACTATGCAAAATACTAACATGTGTAATACAGCATTGAAGACCAGATAGTGCAATATCATAATTAAAATTTTATCCCATCATATGTTAAAATACCATTGCATGCAGTTAAGTAGAATGCGTATGCATCAACCTATTGCAGTTAGATACAAATACAGTTCAAATCAAAATTATTTCCAGTAATTTGATTTTGTTTATATGTTAAATAAGTTTCTTTACATTTCTGGTCTTAGTTATTAAAATCCAAACAAAATGCACAAGGCATTTGGTTCCATAGTGTTAAAACTAAATGCCCCACTAATCCTATAATAAAGAAAAAAATAATTTTGTTTGCATGTATTTCAAAGATGCGAATAAATACAACGTAGAACACTAGGAACATAATACCTTTGCTTTCCAGAATCATTTCCAAATATGATTTTGTGAACCACGGACCTTTTATGCCAAGTCTGAAAGCTTCTTCCCAAATTGCCTGTATTACCAGCCCAAAGAAATAACCAATATGTTAATTTAGTAATTCAAAGGTTATGCAAACACAAATGCACAAAAAAGAGGACAGCAGCAAGCTGAAAGCAAGATATGACAGCATCTTAGCAGCTGAGATCGAGAAAAAAATTAAAACTGAAAATAAATATTCGTTGGGGGATGCAAACATAGTTATTTCATGTAGAAAGCATGTACATCTCTAGTACGTACAAAATATTTGCTATCAATACAAAACATAAAATTTGCATTCGCAATCATCAAATCATAAGTATATTAAATATTCAGTCAAATCCAAAGAAGGTTAGTCTATTAAACTCGACAAGTCTAACATGAACTCACCGTAGAAATCAAGGTATCGAATTGAAACGAACTCAGCTTAAAGGACAAGTAGGTATTGTTTTCAAAATATTTGGGTATTCCTTTTGAAGCAACTCATATCAACTTGCCAAACAACTCACTCTTAAAATAGAACGAACTAACGTACTCACATGTGTGAGCGCAGACAAACCTCGACGATAAAGAAAGTATGCAAAATTGTCACACAAGCATATTAAAATAAATGAATCAACATGAAATAATAACTATAAATAAAACATAATTGCTCACCTTAATGAGGAAAGTCAAAGCCTTTTTTTTCATTTTACAAGAAAGCCACAGGTTACTTATAATATAAATACTCGTCATTAGTCTTTGTTAGAATTTAACCAAACGTAATCTTATTGATGCAAAGTGGGATATAAATACCCATTACAGAATCTACTAGTAAGGAAACAAATAAAAACAAAATAAAAGTAAATAAAAGCAAATCAAAGCAATTAATAGAAAATTCTGCATATTAATATTCTAATAATCTAATACTCCCCTTCAAGTTGAAGCATAGATGTAAGTCAAGTTAAACTTAGTTTGAAATCATCGAATAGCGATCGAGGAAGGTTCTTTGTGAAAATATTCGTCAGCTGGCCACTAGCAGACACAAATGGAACACAAATTTCCTCGGACTCGAGTTTTTCCTTAATAAAGTGTCGGTCAACCTCATCATGTTTAGTGCGGTCATGCTGGACCGGGTTGTGAGCAATGATAATGGTAGTCTTGTTATCACAGAACAACTGTAAGGGAGCAGTGACTATCATATGTAGTTTGTGGAGCATGATGTATAACCCGAGAGCCTCACAAATTCCTAGAGACATGGACTGAAATTCGGCTTCTACACTGCTTCGAGCAACTACAAACTGCTTCTTACTTTTCTATGTGACCAGTTTCCCCAAACAAATGAGCAGTACCTCGAGGTAGATCGTCAATCATGGATAGACCCAGCCCAATCCGTGTCTGAGTAAATTGCAATAGAACGAGAGGTTTGGCATTAAAAAAACAAACATAAGCCCAGTGTGTTTTTTAAATAATGGAGAATCCAATAGACAGCTTGGAGGTGGTGCTCATAGAGATCATGCATGAATTAATTGATTATTCCAACTGCGTGGGCATATGTCGAGGCATGTAAGGGCAAGATAGATGAGTTTCCCCACAAGGAGCCTATAATGAGTCTAGTTTACAGAAACTGCATTATAAACATCACAAAGTTTTTCATTGGAATCCATCGAGACTGCAACTGATTTGCACATAAGAAGATAGTTCTTTGTCAAAATGTCAATCTCCGCTGAGGTAGGCAAATACCCTGAGATGACCGAGCAATTTTCATGCCTAAGAAGAACCAAAGAGATCTCAAGTCTATCATTTCAAAGGAAGTAGCAAGGATGTCTTTCAGAGACTTCAATATTGGTAGATCATTCCCTCCGAGAACAATATCGTCAACATAAACAATAAGAATAACTATCTGGCCGTTTGAGGAATGTCGGAAGAAGAGAGTGTGGTCTGATTGAACCTGAATGAATCCATGGCCTACCATTACTTTTGTGAATTTCTCGAACCATGCCCGTGGTGGTTGCTTCAATATACATACTTGCCCTTGGGAGGCAATGGAGTCAAAGCCGGGGGAAAGTCATGCATACCTCCTCTGTAAGATCATCATCCAAGAACGCATTCTTGACATCAAGCTGGAATAAGAGCAAATTCAGATTTAGTGCAATGGATAAGAGGACCTGAATAGTGTTTAACTTAGTAACCGGGGCAAATGTCTCCACATAGTTAACTCCATAGGTCTGTGAGTACTAGGGCTGGCAAAACGGCTCGTTGTTCGCAAACAGCTCGTGTTCGACTCGTTAATTTCGTTTGATAAGTTAACGAGTCGAACACGAACAAAGATGTGTTCGTCCTTTGAAACAAAGATATATATATATAAAAGTAGTATTTTAAAAAAATCTAATTGACTACAAGGCTACAAAGATTTATAATCAATTAAAATATTGATTAAGAAAATAGAATAAAAAATCTTAAATTAGATTCAAATGATGTTTTAATATAAATAATAATTTTTAAATCTTGCTCAAACCCTTATCGTCTTATGGCTACATGATTAGGGTTGTTAAAAGAACTCTTTGTTCGTGAACAGCTCGTGTTCAGCTCGTTAAGAAAACGAGCCCCTTTTGAGCTCGAAATATAAACGAGCCGAACACGAGCTGAGCATGGCGCGCTCATTTTTGGCTCATTTACACCCCTAGTGAGTACCCTTCGGCGACCAAACGTACCTTGTTGCGTTCAAAGGATCCATCAAATTTAAACTTGATGCTAAAACTCCATCAGCACGCACTGCTAGGTCTGTCAAATTGGCTCGTCGTTCGCGAGCAGCTTGTGTTCGGCTCGTTCGTTAAGCCTAACGAGTCGAACACGAACAATTTTTAAACTCGAAATGTAAATGAGCCAAACACAAACAAAACTTTGTTCACTCGTATTCGGCTCGATTTGGCCTGAATATATATATATATATATAGATATATATATACATACATACATATATACATAATAAATATTCATAAAATTAAATATTATAAATTATAATTAATCAATTGTTTTTTAAAATCAAATCCTATAAATTATAATATATAAAAAATTATTAATAATAATATAACGGTATTGCATATATAACCTTATAACTAAAGAAACCCTAATCCCCTCCAGCCTCCGCTCTCGAAACTTCGGCTCTCTTCCTCTTCCGAGTCATCTCCTTCTCCTCTCAAGATCGCAAAAGAGTTTCGGCGGCGAGAGCTTAGGGTTTGCCATTTGTGTTCGTCTACTCTCAAAAGTTTTGTTTCGGCTCTATTTCTCTTCCGAGTCGTCTCCTTCTCTCAAAATCACGAAAGGGTTTCGAAGGCGAGATCGTAGGGTTTGTTGTTTGTGTTCGTCTACTAATATCTTCTTTTATTTCTCCACGGATAGTCAATTGCTCGGTATCTTGCGCTCGATATTCTTGCTTGGTTGGTTGTTTGGCTACCGAGGTGTTATCTTCTCGCTTGGCTGCTCAATATTCCTGCTTGGTTACTTATATAAGAGTTTTGATATGAAATTTAGCTGCTATTATGTATTTTTGCGGTGATTCATATAGATATAAGCGTTTGTACTATGATTCGGCTATTGCCTCTAGATCTGATTTTTTTTTTTTTTAATGGATGACTTTGTGAAGAATAATATGTTTTTTTTCTTTTGTTTTTCAAAACAGAAACACTTCTTTTCCCAGAGCTTTTTTGAACTTTATTAGTTTCACTTTGGTGGTTTAGGGCATGCATCCTTGTGAAATGCATGTACATGAATGTATTATTCTCATTCCGCCAAATTATAATGTGTGGTTTTATGCATGCTAAAATAATAATATGTTGGTTGTTCAACTTAATGTTGTAAGTTGGCTTAACTTGTTTCTGAACAAAAGAGTACAAGCTTTGTCCAAAGATGCTAATGTGAAACACCATCATTGCATTGCATTGCATTGCATTGCATTGCATTGCATTGCATGACTATCATTTCATATACAATAAGTCCAATTATCTATGTAGATGTTGTCACATTTTTACAACTAGTCTCACATTCTCTATGTAGATGTTGTCAAAAGAGGCTGATGTGATTCATTTGCAGGTCCATAACTGTCATCGGATAATTAAAAGCAACTTAAACCAAAGTTAAGATATGTAGTTTGAAAAGAAGTTTGATAAAACTATCTTTAATTTTATATAGTTAATATAAGTAATTTGATAAAGAATCCTAATAACTGCAATTAGTTACGATCATTATCCTATTCTCCTTCTATCTTTTTTTATTTCCATCTTACAAAACTTTGGCAGTTTGAAGTGGTATCCGTTCGAAGTGGTATCCATCATTGGTGCTTTCGTTTAGGCAGAACTTTATCCTAGTTGCATCACCATACAAAATTCACAAAATTGTTGATGCTACCCAGACTATGACGAGGTCTCTGGATGAATGTTTACACGTTTTTGCAGATCAGAAAAGCAATAGTCAGCTTTGGCATTGTTTTATAATGAACTTCCATGAAGGCTTTCCTCAATCTAATAGAATATAGAAGCTGCAACAAGTGTCACATCTAATGACACCTCTGGTGGGGAATGATAGTGCATTCACTTTTGAAGAATAAGCTTGATTAAATTCAAGAATTGACTCAGCACTAATAAACATTTGGCAGTGAAAGTACATATCCCGTTTTAATGGAGATAATCCACAAAATTGGCTGTTTAAAGCTAATCAATTCTAGACTTGCTATAATTTGACGGAGGAACAAAGCCTTACAATTGCATCGACATACATGTGAACCAGCTTTAAGCTAGTATCTAGGCATGCATCAATTGGTTATTCTTCGCTGATGTTATTCTTGGTTGGTTATTCCTAGCTTATCAAGAGAACTTGATATTCCTATTGAAACTTAACATCCCATACATCCTTGATGCTTTATTGCTTTACAGATAACATGTGCAGCTGTTTTTGTTCATAGAGGTTCTATTTTATATTCACTTCCTTGATGAAGTTTCTGTCACTAATGTTCCCGGGTTATTACAATATTGTTGGATATCTAATGTTGTTGGTTATCTA